CCTTCTGTTCTTCCCCTTCACTATACAGAAAGAAAGTCTGAGACCCAGGGAGTCAGTGGAAAAACCAAGACCAACCTCCAATCCCCTGGAAGTGCAGCATACATCCATTTTCCCAATTTTTCAAGCTGTATCCAGAAGAAGGGCCTTTCTTTGTAGGATGAAGATATTGTCAGTAGCAATTACATTGAAATTCTCATGTGAAGGAGCATCTACAGATGTTAGGTTTCATATCAAGTGATTAAAGGCTTAAGAATAAAAATAGGCTACAGAAAATATAAGTTAATTCAAGCAAAAATATTGAGGAAATAAATGCCTTTGCTCTCTCAGATTTAGCCTATTCATTTACCAATATAAGCTCACTTAATGAAGACCTAGAGGCCATCTTGTGTAACATGAAATATTAATGATGGTCTTATGTGTCACCAAAGGCTGGAAACCAGAGGATCACAAAAACAGAATGTGGAAGAGGAACAATTAACATCAATAATTTGGACTACTTCCAGATGGCCAAACTAAAGGGCCTCTTTTACAAGTCAAAGTACAAACGGTGCAAATTGGTCAGAAAAACACATCACTAAAGATTAAGATTGGAGCCTAGATCCAATATAAAACTTCAAATAATTCAGAAATAAGTTTTTAGTGGAAACATAGAAAATTACAATAGTAGCATACCCTGACTTTCCCAGGCCTCAGTATGGGTAAAAAGGATCAACATAAAAATTTTAAAACACTGTAATTCCATCAATTTATTCTCTAGAATCATGAAATAGTGTCAATAGGCTGTCAGAATCTCAGTTGTTTCTTTTTTTTTTCTTCCACCTTTTTATTGGTGCATTACAGTTGTACATATTGATGGGATTTGTTGTTACATATTCATACATGCACAGAATAGAACCATATAAATTAGCCAATATCACTCCCCAGCACTCCTCTCTCTTGTTTCCACCCTTTGGTCCTCTTCCTCTACTGCTCTCCCTTTGATTTTTAGGAGATCCACCTCCACTTTCATTTTCCTTTTTCCTCTTTAGCTTCTAAATACCAGAGAATGTATAGGACCTTTTCTTATTTTGACTTATTTTGCTTAACATAATGGTCTCTAGTTTCATTCATTTTATTGTAAATGCCGTATTTCATTTTTCTTTATGCCTGAAAAACTCCATCGTGTATCTATACCACATTTTCCTTATCCATTCATTCATTGATGGACTCCTATGCAGGTTCCATAGTTTGGCTATTGTGACTTGTTCTGATTTAAACATAATTATGCATTTATTAATGTAGTAGGTAATCTTAATTCTTCAAGGTAAATACCAAGGACTGGTATAACCGGGTCATATGGTGGTTGCATGCCTAGTCTTTTGRGGAGCCTTCGTACTTATATCCATCATGGTTGTACTCATTTACAGTCCTACCAACAGTGTGAAAGTGTTCCTTTTTATCCACATCCTTTCAAGCATTTATTATTATTCATATTCTTGATGACTGTCATTCTGACTGATGTGAGATGAAATCTCAGTGTAGTTTTGATTGGCAATTCCCTAATTGCTAATGATGTTGGACATTTTTTAATGTATTTGTTGGCCATTTGAATTTCTTCTTTTGAGAAGTGTCTGTTTAATTTATTTGCACATTTATTAATTGATTATTTAAATTTTTGTGTGCAGCTTTTTGAGTTCTTTACATATTCTGAATATTAATCCTTTGTCAGAAGAGTTGCCAGCAAAGATTGTTGCCATTCTATGGGCTCTCTCTTCACATTTCTAATTTGCTTTGCAGGAGCTTTTTAATTTGATGGTATCCTATTTATTAACTCTTGGCATTATTTCCTGAACTTTGTAGGTCAGAATCTCAGTTATTTCTGATTTATGTTCTTTCTTCTAACTCCTCTTTATTACTGATAAACATTCCCCCATACACCCCTCCAAAAAGCCATCTGAATGCAGTGGCTGGGAGCTGACACTGTGATTGACATCAAAGAAGGGAAACTGGATCCAGGCTAAGAGTGACCTGGATTCTGCCCTGTGTCACTCACCCTCCCTACACTAAAAGCACCATACTGGATGCTGCAGGGACAGGGAATTCCTTCCCCACAACCAACTTGTGTGACTTTGTTACCCAGTCCACAAAATACATACACATAAGCTCCTTGCTTGAAAAGGACTCTTTCACCCTTCTACCTACAAGTCTTCCTGCCTTTAGACTCAGACATAAGTCCATGGGCTGAGAATTCAGATTAGTACCTGTAACAAGCATCATCACACTGTCTTCCCCCTCTTCATCTTCCCTGTAGGTAGGTACCCATGGAAACTTCTTTTGAACAGACCTTATCACCCCTGCATGTGCATTCAAGTAATAGAGCTGTGCATCCTCCTACCAGCCCATCAGAAATGTTCCTTGTGTCCTGAATTCTAATAGTACTTGTTATGGTTTAGATGTAGTGTTCCCCAAAAGCTCACATGTGAAACAATGGTAGGGTATGGCTGGAGGAGGTGGGGATTGGCCATGGCTTTGGATTATTTGTTCCAGGCAAGTGAATTGAAGACTGACACTCTCTCTCTCTCTCTCTCTCTCTCTCTCTCTCTCTCTCTCTCTCTCTCTCTCTCTCTCCTTCCTTATCACCAAGTAAGCTGCTTCCCTCTGCCACACTCTTCTACCATGATGTCCTCACCTTGAGCCCTAAGAAATGAAGTTAGCTATCCATGGGCTTAGACCTCTGAAACCATGAGACTACTTTACCTTTTCTCCTCTATAACTGTGCTGGTTTGGTCTTTTAGTTGCAGCAGCAAAAAAAGCTGACAAACAGAACTCATGGTTTATTCAACCACTCAGTCAGCACATATTGAAATCTACCCTATGTCATGTAATACAAAAGCAAGTCTCAGATATACAAAAGTAAATCTGGCCCCTATATTTATGAAGCTTGAAGTCCAGCTGGAGAATAAACATTATTCAAAAAAATGATACAAATTGACATAAATGCATAATGGAAATAGGGTGATAAATGATGCTAAGGAAGAACACATTCAGAAGAAATCCACCATGAAGAGTGAGGAAGGTTCCTGAGGAAGTGACTGAAGAATCAGCTAGATGAAGAATGGGAGGAGCACCCCAGCCTCTCCAGCCTAGCCGAGAGTAGAGCTATGCAAGACTGGGAGGTGGAAGAGTGTTCAAGACAGTGAAGGAAGGAATTCAGACTGACGGTGATACTTCCCCATTGCATGATGATATAGTTAACATTACTGAGTTTCTATAAAGTACTGTGATAAGTACTGGGTAGCATTGTGTAATTTTTTTTTAAAGGATACAATTTGTGATCCCAAAGAGCTGCAAGTCTAATGGGGAAGGCAGGAACATTAACTTATAGAGGAATGTAATAACTACTATTAGAAAATCATGTATAAGGGACTAAGGGAGCCTCAGACTAGAGGGTCAGGCAGTGCTTGCCAGTTAGAGGTCATGGAGGGGAAGACAGAGAGGATGAGATTTCCAGGGAGAGGAAAGAGCCTAAGTAAAGCACAGAGCATGAAACAGCCTGGCCTGCTCAGGGGGCCACAGGAAGTTGAGTTTGGCTTATAAGAAGCATGTGAGCAGATGGAGGTCAGGAATGTGCAGGAGATGAGGCTGGACAGGCAGAAAAACTGGAAAGCCCACCAGGAAAGACCTGTGTGCAAAGTGAAGGCATCGAAACATTGTGAAAAAGTAATAGGGAGATAATGGAGAATTAAAAAGAGAAACAACGATTTCTTCTTTTGTTTCCTTTTGCTTTTTCTCTCCACTACCTCCAACTGTGAAATATACAGATTTCAAAAGAAAACCAAAAACCCATAGCGATTGATCCTGACTCTACTTTGTCATTTTCACAGGTTTATTTCCCCTGCTGGATGTTTGCACACAAAATCCCCAGGTGCTTTTTCCATGTATTACATTTCCTCCAGTTTAGTGAATCAGAGAGCTTATTTACTTTCCCTACCCTGTTTTGTGTTTGGGTGGACAGTAAGCCATTCTCTCACTAGGCAAAATTAATACTTTCAGTAATTATGTGGTCACATGTATGATATAGATAGATGCTACATTGAAACAAGTTTTGTTTAATATCATGATTTATTTTTTGAACATTAAAAATGAAAAAAAAAWTTTGAAAAAAAATGATAGCTCTTACTCTTAAGCTGAGTAATTTAGAACACAAATCATTTCCCATATTTTAAATATTGTGTCTGACACATACAAAATTTAGYAACATGTTGTGTTATAAAGCATTATAATATATTAAATTCCCAAGAACCTACAATCCCACGGACACATCATGAACAAGATGCATGTGTGCATTCCTGCTCTATCTCATCTCATTTCCCCATCCTCCACCAAAGGAGAGAATGGCGCTATTATGAATTTTGTGTCTATCTTTACTTCACTTTTTTAAAATAGCTGTACTAAAAGTGTATATATGTCTAGGGACTAGGGTTGTGGCTCAGCGGTAGAGCACCTGCCTTGCACGTGTGAGGCACTAGGTTCCATCCTCAACACCACATAAAAACAAATAAACAAAATAAAGGTATTGTGTCTATCTACAACTAAAAAAAATTAAAGTGTATATGTGTCTAAACATATTGCTTAATTTTCTGTGTTTTTGAATTGTCTTAATGGTGTTGTACTATCTATGATTTCATGGGCCTGCATTTTTAACTTAATATTAGATATCTATGATTTATATGATACTGAGTATAGCTATGGAACATTTGTTCTCAGTCCTGTATAATATTTCATTGTATAAATATAATACAATTTATACAACCATTCTCCTGATACTGAATTCTAATTAATTTCCTTTCATGACTCCTATAAACTGTTATGAGCCTCTCTCCTGGAAACATGTACAAGATTTTCTCTGGGATTGCTGAGATAGGGTGTCTCCATGTTCATATTTCCAAGAAAATATCAAGGTGTTTTCCAAAAATGATTATCTAATATACCTTTACAATACCCTAATTTAAAGAAATTCCCAGCATGTTTCCCTGGCAGTCACTCTTTGTGGCCATGGACTCTCCAACTACATGCAAGAGCAACATGGGAAACACTGACAGCTTCAGTCAGCACAATASCTGCAGCTGCCACTCACCTTTCCCATGATGTATCAGGAGGGAAAAAAATCCTACTGTTCTATATTCTCTCCCAAACTTTGTGAATTACAGCAATAAAAATTTAAAAAAAAATAGACTCAGGCTACATTTTGGAGATATAGCACACAAAGACAGTGGTTAAGAAGGAAAAGTTAGAAATGATTCACTATTTACTTTTTAATATTCACTAAAATAATAAGTACAATATTTCAGTTTGGTCATTGTTTTAGTCAGTTTTTTTTTTCCTGCTGTGATTAAAAGATCCAACCAGTACAACTGTAGAGGAGGAAAGCTTTATTTAGGGTCTGTTTCAGAGGTCTCAGTCCATAAGTGGCTGGCTCAAGGTGAGGAAAGAGATCATGATGGAAGAGTAGGAGAAAGGGAAGCAGCTCACATGATGATCAGAAAAGCAGAGAGAGAGAGAGGCTCCACTCCCCAGATACAAAATATACATCCCATAGTCATGCCCCCAACGAACCACTTCCTCCAGCCACACCCCACTGGCTTCCATTTCCCATCCAGTTAATCCCATCAGGGATGAGTTTGCTGATCAGGTTAAAGCTATAACCCAATCATCACTCCTCCAAACCTTCTCGTATTGTCTCATACATGAGCTTTTGGGGTACACCTCACATCCAAACCATAAGAGTCATAATATTTATTCTCCTGATTACTGAAAAGATTCAATAGGTTTGTTGGTTGGTTTGTTTCTGTTCCTTGGCCATCTACTCCCATGTCATTTACCTATTTTTCTATTCTGTTTGTATATGTGTTTGTTCTCTTTTGATTGGTAGGAGTTCTTTATGTATTCTTGATATTAAATATTGGTAATATGTGTGACAAATATGTCCTATTACTTTCTTGTTTTCACTTTCTTTATGGTGTTTTGATAAACAGATGTCATTAATTTCTATATAGTTGAATTAATCATTTCTTTTATGCTTAGAATGTGTTGTATTATGCTTAACCAAAGTTTCCCCACCCCAAAACTAGGAAGATATTTTCTTTATTTTTTTTCCTAAAGTTTTCCTTTTAGAAAAAAAAAAGTCTATTTGTTTAAGTTGACTCTTGTGTATGGTGTAAGGCAGGAATTCAATTTCAGCTTTTTAAATGGATATCCAGTTATCCCAGTGGTGTTTATTGATCAGTTCTTTCCTTCTCCATTGATCTTTAATGCCCTCTGTGCTACATGTTTTCTATGGCCCTTGGTACACATTGATTTCCCTTCTTTGCTCTCCTTGTATCACAAGAGCTGGATACCAGAAGCTGAATTCTCCAAACTTTTTTTTGCCAGCAAGGTTTAATTATTGTTTGGGTGCTGTCAGAAAAAAATGCACTTAGGCTAATTTGGAAGAAAGTAGGGAGATAGAAACAATTCACTCCCAGCAGCAATGGCAGAGGAAATAARACTTGAGTGGATATTTTATAGAAGCCACACTCTATATTCCCATAACAGTCAACAGTCTCGGGCAACAGTTGGGGGTGCTATGATCTCCGCAGAGTGTCCTATATTTTGCAGGCCTCTAAGCAGCTTCTCTGGATGGCTATGGCAGTGACTCATAAGCTAATGGCACTCCCATGTCTCAAATCTTTGCCCTTCCAGCCCCTCAATAATTTGTGCTCATCTATTTTCTTTTTTGAAAATCCTCCTGTTTGAAATACTGAATGTTTTTTGGTTTTYCCATTACACTTAAAAAACAGACACCCTGTCAAAGATCACAGCTGCATTTATGAGTGGGTCTGTTCCTGGGTTTTCTGTGGTGTATCATTTGTTGGTTTTTCTACCCGTGAGACAATCAACTGCCTTAATTATGGCTTTAGAATAAACCTTTTCAAAAAGGCAATTTTTCCATTCTATTTTCTTTTAATATACTGGGATTGAAACCAGAGTCACATAATCACTGGGCCACATGCCCAACCTTTTTTTTTTTTTTTTTTTTTTTTTGATACAGAGCCTCACTGAGTTGCTTGCTTAGGGCCTCATTAAGTTGCTGAGACTGACTCTGAACTTCTTTTTTATCCTCCTGCTTCAGCCTCCTGAGCTACTCAGATTACAGGCATGTTGTTCCACGATGTCTGGCTCCATCCTATTCTTCACAAATATCTTGGTTGTTCTTAGCTCTTAGAGTCACCTTGTCAAATCCATTTTAAAAAATCATAATTTTTATCAGACTTGCATAAATTCAATGGATGAGCTTTCTTTTTAAGGAACATGGATCCACATTTTAGAAAAATAATTCTAGTAATGGTGTATTAGATTTGATGGGGTCAGATTTAAGAACAACCAGACCAGCTAAGAAGCTACATAGGATGTTGGGTGAGATAAAACAATGGGAACACAGAGAGTTATGCTATGTTTAAAAAATAAAGCATACGAAGTTGTGTTGAATAATAGGGGAAAGTTAGAGATGACTCAGATTTCCTCTGGATCCCAGAGTGCTATTCCTTAAGGGAAATACCAAAAAAAAAAAAAATTCACAAACAAGACTAGTTTGGGGTATGTTGAGTTCTGGTGACTAAGAAAGCCGGGTGAATATGAGTCTGAAACTCTTGGGGGAACAAACATTCTATGTGGATTAATGAGCCAGCCATATAGAAGTGGTTGTGGAATAATGTACCACAGTTGAGAAGAAACCTATGAAAACAGTCATCTTAGATCACAAGAAGGAGATTGAGAAGAGTGGCCAGAGACATGGTAGAAAAATCAGAGAAGATAAGTATTGTTAGAGAGAGGGGGTGGGGAGAGGGAGGGAGGAGAGGGAAAAGGTTATAAGAAGAAGGAAGCTGTTAACAGTGTTGAATAATTTAAAAAATGACATGTATCCACTGGATTTATTAATATGAAGTTAATTGGCAGAAAGAATTTCATTGCTGTTTTGGGGATGAAAGACAGATTGTTTTCAGTGAAGGAAATGGCCAGAGAGAGGAGATGGCAGATGGAGAAGCTTCTTTAAGAAGTTTGACTGCAAAGGGGAAAATATAAAGAACAGTAGCTTGAGGGTGATGTGGAGCCAGAGGAAATTTTATTAAAGAAAATGTYTATATGTTGAAGGGAGCAAACAGAATACAGAGGAAAGAAAGGGATGACTGATCACCCAAGGTCTCCATCAAGCCAAGAGACAAATTCCAATGCAAATGGTTAGAAGGACACATGAGATTTGGGCAGTGGGAGGGACAATCTTTCACTGAAAATAGAAAGGACTGTGAAACTATGAGTTTTTAATACACTGRGGGTTTTAGTGAGAAAGGAATTATTTGTTTGTTGGCGCATTGAAAGGGTTTTCTGAGTGAATGTAAAGGTAAGATTTTATGCTGAGACAGAGAAGATGWGGCAGAGGAAGAACTGAAGAGAGTCAAAGTTTGGAACAGTTGTTGAGATGGAAAAGAGAAGCCACTGACTGGCTTTATGTAAAACTATTCCAAGGAGCACTGACAGTCCTGGTGACAGGGGAGAGTTTGCCCAAATTGCTGGATAATTTTCCCCAGTAGAGCACTGGGACTTGGCAGCAGCCTGTTTTATTTTGTCCCCAAACTTGTGCACCTGATTCTCACTATTAGAGAGAAATTGGGTATATGTCATGTGATCTCACTTGACTCTTTTTGCAAACTGGGATAGGCTGAGTGACAGCTAAAATTGCCACAATTAGACCTATAGGAAGAAACAGAAGAGAGATCAAATGATAGTATGTGACAGGCTAAAAAGACAAAATAATGCATCAAAATATATTCTTTAACTTTGCCTGATTTGGGCTATACCAGAAGGCAATGACATGTACAGGAGCAACACCTATTCTTTAAATATGGTTAGGAAGTTAGACAACACTATTACCAGTGACAACTGAAAAACATGGGGAAAAAAAAAACCCACCATTCTAAGATGAATTTGTACAGGATGGTGATTAACCAGCTTCAGCCAATAGACCACATATCCTGCTCTTTAAGAAACTTAATAAAACTGTAGGACTTATTGATTTTGCTCTTCCTCTAGGCAGAAATATGCCAAGAATATACACAGAGAAAATAAATAATCCTGAGCTTTCCTAAGAAAGCTCAAGCAAATGTGGAGTTACATAGAGTCTCAAAGTGAATTCAGAGATAGGGCTGGTTCAGCATGCAGCTAATATTATAAAGATTCATTACTGAGTGCTTGTGTTAACAAAGATGAAACATCTATCATATGACCTGGAGATTATTTTTCTCTAAAATATACCCAGGAGAAATGGAAACAGTACAGCAAATTTTAAAGATGTAGGGATAGGCCATCTGTGAAGCAGATATCCATCAGGTGCCCCATGAGAGGCAGTTCTGGAGAATTCCAGGGGAATGGTTTGATACCTTGTTAATCACTGAGACTCCAACACCACAGCCTTTACTGGAGAATGTGAAGAGGTGGACAGAATGTTCCAGAGAGAAGCTGTGAAGCACCAGAGCTTACCTCATGGTCCAGGATGTGAGTGACTGTCCTGCAGTGGCTCCTGGAATAGTATTGGCTAAGCTGGCTGCCAATCACCCTCCATGCAAATTAAAAACAGTTTCCCATCAAAGGTGGCACTGAAACAGCTACAAAAATACTTACTTATTCAGTTTATCAAGGGCATGTATGAACTATAATCTATGGTGGAAATTTAGGAGAAAAAAAAGATGGGCGTGTCAAGAGGAACCAAATCAGTTGAGAGGCTGATGTAAAAGAAAGAAGAAACTTTCTTTAGACCAGAACAGGATATCTGGTCTTTTGGCTGAAGCTCTGTCCACCCCAAGTTATCCCTCTATCAACCTTTCCCCTAGTTCTTGGTTATGGCAAAAGTCCCTACTGCCCCACGTGCTGCTGACCGGAGGGAACGGGAACAGTATTAGAGTTTCCAGAACTTCTTGACAAATTTCACCTGCTCCTCCTGACAGGAGGAAGGGCGACTCCTCTGCTCCGTAGACACTGCACTCTTTACAAGCAGCAAACAGGAGGGAGCATCTTTAATCTGATTACAAGTTATTAAAAACTCCTATAAAAATGTCAT